GTGTGGCCATTGCTTTGCGTCCTAATATGCTCTCCTTGTTCTTCTCTCCTTGGCTGCCTGGATGCAGGTCTCACTCCATCGGGTAAGCACCGTCCTGGCCGAGGTGGGTCTTGGCCTGCTTCTCAGAGTCTCTCTGTTCCCATCACACGATTCCTCCAACAGCAAAACTAGCTTCATTTTCCTGAGCGAGTTAAGGACCAGGAAGCTAGAGACTGTGAGGCCCTCCATCCATCGACATTCCTTATTGTCCTTAGGCGACCTCAAGTCAGTTTACAGGCACTCCGGTGGCCCAGCAGTTAAGTTTTCAGCTGCTGACTGAAAGGTAGGTGGTTCAAACCCACCAGGTGACTCTGCAGAAGCAAACGAGCTGGTGATCGGCCCGTCCAAAACACTGCAGCCTTGAAAACCTTTAGGAACAATTCTTCGCTCCCATGGGCCTCTCTGAGTCTCAAATTAGCTCAAGGGCACCTAACAGCAATCTTTATGGAGCAAGTCACTGGGCTCACTCCAGAGAAGTTGCTGGCTGGATTCCACCACCATTCACGTCACCGTCAGTTCCGCCAGCGCTCCTTTGGAAATTGTCTAGGCACATTTCTATCTCATCCCCGACTTTACATCAATGTCCTTGCTGCACAATCTCTTTGTGCATCTTCTTTTCCCACAGCAGCAGAAATCTCTGATCCAGCTTTAAAATTGAAAGAAGGAAAATGGATTTGAGATTTATGTGTTTTTATAAAATTGGTAAAAAGTAAAATTGAGAAACTGGAGATTATTTTTTCTAGATGGCCATTTTTTTCTGAACTTCTTGTTGCTGTGATGAATGTGGGCATTTTGCATTCAACGCTGTGCTTTCTGAAGCCGAATGGGAGAAAAGTTACTGGAAAAGCATGTGTGTTACGAAGCTCCAAGCCTCTAGTATAACCTTTCAGATAGAACGGTGTGGTTTATATATTTTCTGAATCTTATTTTATAAACAAAATGACTTATATTTAAAGAGGTAGATTGATCTTGCTGACAATTTCTTTTAGTAATTTTTTTCATATGAGTTTTGAGGACATATTTTGCTGATAGCTTCTAAATAGTGTATGGGTAAGACCTTAAGTACCCCTTGAATTTCGTGGTCCATTTCTCGGTGTCTAGGCTCTCTGGTGGTACGTATTCAGCTGCTAACCACAGAGTCAGCAGTTTGAAACCACCAGCCACTCAGTGGGACAAAGAGAGAGAGGGCTTTCTACTCCTATACTAAGTGACAGTCTCAGAACCCCCAGAGGCAGTTCAGGGTTGCTAAGACACAGAATCGACTTGATGGCAGTGAGTCTGAAATTTGAGTTTCTCTTTGTGGTTTAGTAAAGTGCTGTCCATACTAATTACCGCAGTGGATACAGTCAGGTAAGGGTGGTGTGTTTGTTTCCCGACCTGCTGATTTCTCGACGGTGGTGAAGACTGTGATGGGGGAACACTATCCCGGGAAGACGAATCCGATTTTGCTTCTGCCTGCCTTTCAGTTTAATTTCTGAGTAAAATTGACACAGAAAATATCAGGCAATCAGAGGGAGGAGAGGTCAGCCTGAGTCCTTTAGAATCCTCAGGAGTATTTGTATTTGTACCAGATGTCCTTGACCATTAAATCAGAAGAGATGCTGAGTCCATGACCTCTTGTGGGACTATGTGAGCTATTAACTGTGTACATTACTTTGCACAGTTTCCCTACAATGGAACCATTAGCTTCTATCTGCCTGGGGGCGTTGCCCATCCCTGATTGTTTTCTTGAATGGGAACAGGGTAGCGCCCTTGCTTGGGCATGAAGAGAAAGGTCCTAAACTGCTGGGATTAACTGGGTGGGAAACAGACATTTTTCTCAGATTCCCTGGGTTTGGAAAACTAAGGGAGTAAAAGAGTATGCCATGGGCCACCTATTGGTATCCTCAGAAGCAGGCCAACCCAAAGAAAACCCACTGACTCCACTGAACAGAGTAGAACCTCTCCCTATGGTTTCCCAAACTGTAAATCTTTCTGGGAGCCTGCAGTCTCCTCTTCCTCCTGCAGAGCGGAGGCCTGGCAATTTACCATCCAGTGATTCACTTTCTGACCACCAGGGCACCTTGGGAAGCTGACAGTAGCCCATAAAACCCAAGGAAAACAAATAGCACATTGGTGGAGTGGGCAGAGCCTATTTCAGATCTGGGAATTGCTGGTTTAATACTGTGCCTAGAGAGTTGATCTTGTACTTACATTACACTATTTTCTCTTTTTCTTTCTCTCCCCCACCCCACCCCACTTTTAATCTGCTTTTGCCTTGAAGCTACTCCATTCGCCATTCCATAAGTATGCCTGCTATGAGGTAATGTGCGTCAATTACTTTTATATAATCTTACTTTTATATACTCTTAATGCAGCGTGTGTGTGAAGTTGTTACTTTATTGACATGGATTTTGTGGCCATCTTTTTCTTCTTTCCTTTATGTAAAAGGAAATTCCCAAAGTGCTCAAACTGTCTCCGTTTCCCAATAACCTTCAAAAACAACGCTGACAGTTTGGTAGAAGTAAAGTGGGAGGCCCCAGGCTTTTGACTACACAGTCTCTGCTGGGGGGCAAGAAGAGTGACGAATCCATCCTGCTCTCCTCTGGGCAGATGAGCCCGGCCCCGTGTGGGTTTTCAGAGGCAGAAAGGATGTCCTACTTAGCACAGGGCCTGGAACTTGAAATGCGTTTCTTATATCAGCAGAACCGAATGGATGCTTAGGAGCAAGCTTAAACAAGATCATTAAGAGGGCGGCAGTTCTGGAAAGGGCGTCATTAAGACTTGTCCAGGTCCGTAGTAAGGCCAGGTGTCTGTTGAACTACATGCCCTTAAAGTGAATGGCCAGTGAAAACCTGCGCTCTGCCAGCCTAGGGCTGCCCTTTACATTTGCATGCCTTCTTAATAGAATCAGATCCAATCTAATTAAGAGCAATCAGTGCACAAAAATGGCTGTTAGGCTTTCTTTTCAACTGTTAGGTTTTGTTGCGAGTTTCCAAGAATTAGCTTTGTAGCGATGGGAAGGTCACCTCTGTGATTTCAGTTTCATCCTTTTTAAAACAAAGGGCTAGAGTGACTGAACATCTTGATCAAAGATTCTATAGAGAATCCTGATCAAAAAGAACATCATTCAGAACAGACTTGCAAAAGTGAGACTTTCTGAAGCCAGGGAGGCTGGATGAACCCTGAAACTATTGCCCAGACAGAGATCATCTTTAAACATTTCTGCCGAATACCAAGAATGCTGCTTGAAAGCTCCAAACACAGCCACGGCTTCCTTCACTGGAAAAGATGGTCTGCCGTGAGCATGCGTCCTCCTCAGGACTGTCTAGATGGGATCCGGTGGACAAGAGCAACTTGAAAGCTGAGACAGGGCACGTAGGAAATATTATGTCTGTTCATGGAGGTGGAACCATTCAAAAAAGGAGGTGAGAGTATTTGCATACCTGAAGAATGTAGTCAATGCCACTGCATTGTACATGTAGAAATTGTTTACTGGCTGTATATCCTGCTGCAATGTATTCTCAACAACACTGAGAATTATGTAATTTTGTAAAAACAACAATAAAAAGGGGCTAGAACCCAATGACCAGCTCATCTCCCGATGTTCCCCTTGGGGTCCCTGGGCGGTAGGAGAAAGCAAGGTGCTGGGACTCTATCCTGCTCTGGACAGGGCTGGGCTCCTCGGCCCTGCTGCACATGCTGAGGGCTGGATCCAGTTTTGAAGGGATTCAGTGACTCTCAACAATTTGAGATCACTGAAGCTTTAAGTTGATTCCAGGGTCATTTGTAGTGTGAGAGTTTGTAGGTGGTTGTGCATGCTGTGATTAAATCAGATTAGACTTTCTCTGTGTTTTGCACCGTGCAGTCTTCTGGAATTTAATTAGAGGAATGTCTGCTCTATGCTGGCCTTCTTTGGTAAATTTGTTGATATGAAAATTTAAACTCACTTGGTAACAAATATCAAGTATATAGATTATATATATTTAGATATAGATGAGATCATTTAGTGCATCCTTGGAAGATTTGCTCCCTACTACAGGAAAACCCAAATGGAGCATGTACTAAAACCTGTGGCTCTGAGCACCTTTCCTCATTTAGTTTTGAGGCTGAGTGTTCAAAGAAGGCTTGGACATGCATTTTCTGTGTGAGCTAGGAATCTGTCTAGTGACATATTGGTCACACACAGTCTCCATAAGCTAGCTAGAAATAAACCTAAAAAATGTTTTTACTCGTCTAACATATACCCCTGAGCCATCAGACTTGCTTGTCTGCCACCTGCAGTTCTGTACACAACGGCTGATGATCATCATGTAAGCAGGCCAAATAAAAGCTGCAATCAAAGTAAAACGGCAGACACACCCACAAGAAAGGCTTCAAAAATTGGTGGGAAAATGTCATTACTTTTTAACTCCATTTTCCACAAACTTTTTGAAGCCATCTATATAGATTGTTCCTTAGAGATCATTCATTTGGCTGACATTAGAGTCCCACATACGGTATGACCTTGGGCCCATTGAATGCCCCCTACTTAATTTATGCAGCTTGAATGCAAATGAATTTCTGAGCATTAGGGATGTCACAATCTCAGAGGACAAAGCCAAATTCACTTAAAAAAAAGCATTTTCATTTCTATGTTTTCTCTTAGAGCCCTGCTTCTCCATAGAACTCCCCGATGAGGGGTTGTTTTACAGCCGTCTCCTGTGGAGGTTCTCCTGAGCCATTTCTCTTATGTCACTTCACACTCAAGAGAGAAGACGAGGTAGCTAGTCCAGTAACAGTCAGTGGAACTTGTTCCCTTGAACGATGCAGTCCTTTGTCACTAAACACTGACATGGATCCAAATTTTAAACAGGGTTTTCTTTGTTTACTTCCTGTTCCTTTAGTTGAACTTGGTGATACCATTTTCAGTGGTAATGAGATTACTAAAAGAAATGGCACCACATGGGCAAATGCAATATAGAAAACTATTAGAAGCCAAACGAAGCACCCAGCTCTGACGGTACTAAGATAGTATATTGAACACAATGAGTGAGTCACACATAAAATGCCAACAAGCGTTTAGTAGGTGCTGTCTGATAAGAGAACAAGCGCATCTTTTTTGGAGAAGAAAAGTGAAAACCATGGCCACTAACACCATCATGATCAGGTAGTAAGCAAGTAGTGGGCGTGTTTTAACATAAAACACTGCGATCATGAGCTTTTTGAAATACCACTTCATAGAAGTTAATAAAGGCATGGAAAAGAAACAAAGCTTATGAACCTTCCTTTCCTTGAACCATTTCTGGCATACTGCACATTCACTCTAATAATAAATAACCTTGCTTCTCCAACTGGGAACATTCAAACATGATTCTCCAGACAGACTTTCTATTGCTTACAAAAAAAAAAGAAAGAAAGAAAAATCAAGCTTGGAAAAGGAGTGTTGTGATAGAAAGAAATTTGATTAGTAAGTGAAGTTAAGCTGTCACTCCTTCCATTCACTAGAAATAAACAGTGGTGCACTGTTGAATTATGGTACTCATTTCACTGCATAGGGACACATATGGGACCACCATGAATTGGACTGAACAGTAACTGAATATCATTGCCCAATGTTATATTATTTATTCTACAGTTGAGTATCAGAACGCTTTACTGACAATCATAAATATCCAGTGATGGCTTTGTGGACCTACCCAAGTGGATGGGCAATATATTTTAAAACATGGTTGAGGTGGGAGGCAAGCTGATAGCCAGATCTGCTGTTAGGTGATGTTTACAAATAACAGAAAACGTCAACAGCATGGTTGCTAAGACAGCTAGGTATGTGAGCTGACCTCTTTTCTTTTATTATTTTAGGAATTCTCCTACTTTCAAATCATTTGAGGAGAGGGTTGAGACAACTGTCACAAGCCTCAAGGTACAGACAAGTGCATTCTGGGTGGTTGAGTCCCTTGAATTAGGGCAGCTTAGTCATTGCTGGGGGTGGTGGTTAGTTCTGAAGATGGTGCCAGTCAGTGTTCGTTGCATCCATGAAGGGCAGATCCTTTCCCTGCACATGCCAATCTCTAAAGAAAACCAGTATTCAACAGTGTTTCCTGCACTGTCATGCATTCAGGGACAAACTGTTCATTGAAGTGTACTTAGGGTTGTGTTCATTATTAATCTCCTTGGCTGGTTAGAAGTCTTATTCCTTTTCCCCACCAAAAGTAGCTATGTGAGAGAGAAAGGTAGATGTGATAAAGGGCATGTAAATCTGACTGTAGAGCATGAACTAGCATTCAGTAACAGCTCAAAGCTCCTCCAGTGTGGGCTTGGACCAACAAACATGAACTTGGTCAGAAGTATTAAACGCCACCCCAAGCCATCAGCAACCTAAAGAGGTTTGTTAAAGTCACACTGAGCACAATCTGATGACCACTGAGGGAATATTAAATGGAGTCACAAAGCATTGTTCTGTATTAATGCATTTGCTCTCTGGGTCTAAGCTGAAAATAATACCTGTTACAAGGTGGGTCTAAAAATACTGTATTTCTTGCCTGAGAATAGATCAAGTACAGAATAGAAAAGAGCACAAGTAGAAGCAGTCTCATCTTTAGTTGCATAAGGTCAGGAAAAATCAGTAAGACTACGAAGATGATTATTTTTTAAGGATAGCTCCTAAACACTGACTTTATTCCATCTTGTAATAAGTATCACTACTTTGTGTACAATCCATTTTTGTGCTTAACTAAAGCAGATATACGGGCATGCTGGCTATTCAACTCTGAGTGTTTCGTCACCACATGACTCTTTTCACTTGTGCTAGACCTGATGGGAGTTCACGAGACTCTATTCTTAGCTAGATGCTCTTAATCTTGACCCAGAGGGTTTTTTTCCGTAGGGGAGGCCTTTCCCATAGTCTTCTATCTCATTACACCCGAGGTACATGGCTTAAGGCCCAAGAATGAAATCATTTCTCAGTGTTCACTATGCCTTAATCGGTAACATTCATTAAGCAGAGGTTTCTAATTGTTCACTATTCTGCTGTCAGCATCATTGTTGATTGGATGTACACGAGCCAGTTCCAGCCAACAAACCAGTTTTTACTCAGTTGATTCCGACTCCTGATGACCCTGAAGGACAGTGTAGACATGCCCCTCAGGGCTTGGGGGCTGTGAATCCTTTACCAAAGCTGACTGCCTCATTGTCCTGCATGAACCAGGAGGAGACGCCACATTGCCCCATGTGAAAGGACAACTTTTGTAAAGGTGGTAGACATTTCTCTTGCTACAATGTTCAGTCTCAGAACTCAAAGCTCTGAAATCTTAGGACTTGATCTCTCAACCTTTGCTTTTTAACCCTAGACAATCCAAGAGGGATGGATTCTTTTGTTAGATAAGTTCTGACACAGGAGAAGTTGTACTTTGTAGGTTTTCTTTAGAAGAACGGGATATGAAGAAGCAAAAGAAGAACAAAGCACAGCCTCTTTCCCTTTGCTTTTACAAAGTCCTGGTAAGCTCGCAACTCGTTTGATCAGCACTCTCCTTCTGTCCCTTCAAGGTGTCCTCTTTGGACATGCCCTCACCAGCTCTGATTCCCACGGCCTGTCTTCCCAGACCTGACCGTGGATTCTATGCAGGCATGATTTTCTATGGGATTCAGAAGGTTCACATCCGACTCACCTTCATCTCTCTCTCCTCGGCACTCCCAGGACATGGTCAATGCCTCCTTCCTCTGTCTCGGTGCGCCCAGGCATGGAGAACAGCACCCTGATCAATCATTAAGGATGTCTCATTCCTCCATCTCCCTGGACTACAGATTTGTTTAAAGTTGCGTCATGTTGCTTATTTTCTCCGTAGTTTACTTTTTCTGTTTTAAATCCCCAACATTTTACATCTTTCTTCAATGGTGGAACCCAACGCCTTTTCTTTGGGGGAGTGGCCCATGAATCAGAAGGATGAATGAAATTCCCTGCAGGTCTGAAGGCTGCCTTTCTCTTCACATGTTCTGCTGATCCACTTGGTTTTTAAAGCACCACTTATAGCAGCGGTTCTCGACCTGTGGGTCGTGATCCCTTTGGGGGGCGTCGAAGGACCCTTTCACAGGGGCCACCTGACTCATAACAGTAGCAAAATGACAGTTAAAAAGTAACAACAGAAATAACTTTATGGTTGGGGGTGTCACCACAACATGAGGAACTGCATTGAAGGGTCGGGGCACTAGGAAGGTTAAGAACCACTGACTTTAGGGACTCATGTTTATATTTGTCTTCCATCTGACTTCTTAGAGTTTTCTGTAAGAAAGGGGAGGTCTACTCCCAATCTTTGCAGTCTGCTACGCACCATGTGGCGTTTGTACCCAATTGATTGATTGCCTTCATACCCCATCCTGGAGGTTGGTTTTCTATGGAAAACTTGCCAATTCATTATCATCATAAAATTGTGTACTTCCTGCTCAAAACCTTGCAATGTCATATGACATCCCAGCTGGTGTCGCCTCTACAGTTGATGGCATGCTTTTTGTGTCATCTATAACCAAACCCCTTGACACCACACTTGATATCACAACAGTCCTGTCCATTTGCCAACCCGCCGTATCTTTAGGGTACCTTCTTCATAAGGAACATATTACACGATCTGAATAAAATCCTTTAAAAAAAAAAAAGCAAAGCATATTATCCCCCACCCCCTATCAGTCGACACTGTAAGAGATCAGGAAACTCAACTCAGTCGTTCAAATGAAAATTTATGCAAACAACAGTTAAATTTTTCAGGACACAGTGACCAAAACATTGTTAAGTGGAAGTTTCCGAGAGAGAGGCTCCTGGCCCATGTCCCTGCCAGAAAAGGTCTTTACTCATGTCTTCCAGGCTGCAGCCATTGTGTTCACACACCTGGGACCACCCCCTCCCGTGTTCCCTTGTCCCACTGCCAAATTATTTATTTCAAATAGATGCACTCCTGCCTTGTACTCGAGAAAAAAAACAAGAATGAATCAAAGCTCAGAAGAATACTACAGTAATTGGTATTCATCCGATTGCAAAGGAGAATTAAAGTGGGAAAGAAAAAGAAAGAGGAGGATGGAGACTGTTAATAGTTTGCATTGTTGCAATCTTTTTTCTCTAAAGGGAAAAAATGATTTACCTGTGAAAACTTCCCCATTCCACCTGCTAAGGCAATATGCAGAGACAAGGAGCTGTGAGTCAGCAGACTACTAGCCATGGGGCAGAGCCAGGCAGAGGCTAGTTTGTAAATGACCCGCAAGCTAAGAATGGAGTTTGCAATTTTAAGGGGTTGGGAAAAACTTAGAAGAGGCTAATATTCTGTGAAATTAGAAAGTTAAATGACAAGAAGGTCATATTCCAGTGTCTATACATGAAGCTTTTGGGGAACACACCCCACTGCCTGTGGCTGCCGTCGCCTGCCGCTTAACAGCCGAGGTGCTGCGTGTTGACAGTAGAGGCTGAAGGCCACGAAGCATCATCGATTTACCTCACTTTGTAGGAAAGGGGTTTCTGACGCCCTCCTCTAAACCCGAGTGAAGCGCTCAGTTTTGTAAATCAGTGGGCCAAGAAGTGGTGAGGGCTTTTAGTGAGAATTGGGGGAGATTATTTGCTTGTTTTTGCAATGACTGAATTGCTTTAAACCGTGGTTAAAATGTATTGGTTTATTTTCTTAAAGGCAGGCCAGGTGGTGCGTTTTTGGGTTCCACACATTCCTGTTCTCCTCGGTGATCACCTGGGTGCCGCTGAGCTGTAGCTAACAACTTGGCCATCAAAGCACACTTAACTGTTCTATACCTTTCCTGTGCACATTTTAACGACTAAAGAAGGTCAATGTGATGATTACTAAGTCTTGCACAAAGTATTTTATATGGTTACATATGCTTTGGAAGAGCTTTCTAGTAAGTTGGGATTTTTAAAAGATGCTTATTCATTTCTTCCCACTTGGCTTCTGCTTATAAACTGATACAAGCACTCAAAAGGCAAGTTTGAAGGGCATTATTACTTTGTGACTGGGGGCTGTTTCTCTTATAAAGACAAGTGCCCCGAAGGTGTGACGGGGCCAGTGCCCTTGGACCCATCCCTACCTGGCAAAGCAGAGCCATTTAGAAAGCACAGTCGGTGAAGCCGTTTCACGGTTCAAAAGGCCGTTCTTAGAAACCCAGCTAAAGGCAAACCAAGCCCAGTACCATGGGGTCCATTCCGACTCACATTGCCCTTGTCAGAAGTCCCCAAGAGAAAGCCTCCATTTAAGCCATAGTAAAGTTGTGATATTAGGGGGAGGGCTGTGTGAGTGTAATCTAAAATCCAGTGCTGTTTTGATTAAATTGGTTCACAGGGTAGTGGGCAGGGGCTCCCACGTCCACAGAGCTGGTTGTGCTCCTGAAGGGATTGGGGACCTTAACCAAGGAGCAGAAGAGATGAAGTGTTTGCTACAAGTCTGATGCATCCTTAAAATTTGGAACCCTGTCCCCAGAACCCAAGCGTGGCTGACGGGTTAGCACTCTGTTCCAGGAAAACTTCTGGACATCCTTCTCATCTTGGGAGTTGGGGGTTGGGAGAGCCTTACTGAATTTGAATTTTTGACACTCGTATGAAAGCATTCTATTAATATGAAACCATTATTTCTCCTTTTTTTGCGTTTGCCCATTGCAGACGAAAGTAGGCGGGACCAACCACGGTGGAGGCAGTTTTGAAGAGGTGCTCAGCTCCACGGCCCAGGCAAGCGCCCAGAGCTCAGGCGCAGGCACCCCGGGGCGGGCCCAGCAGGAGCTGCAGTGCTAGACCCTCTGGGCGGGCGCTGCTGATCCATGCCCTGCTCACAGACCCAGACAGGAAGACCAACCCCCTCTGGGAAAACCCGGAGCCCTGTGCCTGTGATTCAGAGCTTCCCCACCGAGTTGGATGACTTGATTCCCATCTGTATTTGCGTTGTCACCCTGAGCGCCAACTTTGAGTCTTCATATTTTGCCATCTGTTAAATGTCCCCTACGGAGCCGACGAGGCACGTGACTAGTCACCACCCGTCTTTCTGTAATATACCGCTCATCTTCCAATCACGTAACTGGTAATTATTTGCTTTGGCTTTGACCTTTGATGACAAGCATGAAGGAATACTTTCAGTGCTATTAGACAAACTGGATGGATCTCTATAACTGGGCCCAGCAATCAATGATATACTGAGAAGTTTACTTAACGACATAAATTACATATATTTATTTCCGCAGTTAGATACGTTTAATGATAAGACTTTGAGTTAATTTAAGTCTCCTAAGTTCTGGTGACCCTACGAGAGTTGACGCTGACCCTGCAGATGCTATTTCAACCACTTGCCAATGTGGTGGAGAGGAGACAGGCGCCTTTGAGTAAGGATGACCCCGGCTCCCCTGGGCTGCTAGACTCTCTCATTCTAAAATTCACTCCAATCTACCTAGAATGTTTCTTAACTCAGGTAACAGGTAGTGGAAAACATTTGCCAGTTGCTGCCACTAAGGAGGAAAAAAGTCATCATATTTATACAGCTGGGATCCCTTTTACATTTCAGATTGTACACCTCTCTTTTCTTCTTCTAAATGAGAATCTACATTTGTTGTTAGGCTCCAGAGTTATATAGTTCCTAGACAAATTTCTGAAATGCATACGGAGTAGACCTATTAATTAAAAATCACCATTTAAAACTCCACAAACTGTCTGTGTGATCTGTTTGTACATCCATTGCTCTTCTTAAAGGGTTTATAGTGAAAAGGAAGTGGATAGATGCCCAGAGTTGAATTAAAGTCAATCTGAAGGTTTCTATTAAAATTAATGGCGTTAAGATCATTTCCACCCTGAGTTGAAGATCAGTCAGGTTCAGGGTCCCATAATCTCAGAGGCTGGGAGTTTTAGAAAGGGAGCAGGGCTGTGACCCGCATCCACAGCTGACCAAGAAACACTGCTGGGAAGAACTTTAACATTCTCCCTATTTTGTCTTCCAGCCAATGGGCTGAAGGCCAGGTCACATAGGGCTTAGAAGCCACTGGACAGCTAACCAAATGGGTGGAGTTGTGAGTACCCTCAGACCCTCCTCAGAAGAAAGGCCTTGCAATCTACCTTGGAAAATCAGCCATGGAAAACCCTGTGGCGCACAGTTCTACAGACACACGTGGGTGGTCACCATGAGGATGGCCATGAGTCAGTGTCCGCCGACTCCACAACACTGGTAGCTGGTGGAGCTGTGCTTTAGTTAGTAAGACGCAGTGTGAAGAAAAGAGGCATTCCAAAAGGCAGCAAGAGTGAGTTTAAAAGAATGCCAACCATTTCAAACTCGGCAAGCAACTGCAGATTAGGCCCACAAAGATTTAGTCCCTGCCCACTGCAATCTCAAGCCAGCCAGACTGGCTTCCAGCCCTATGGGACCGTGACTTCAACCCATGTGCGGGAGGACAAATTAGGGAGGATGTCAACATTCTGTACGTGAAATGAAACTGACAAAAAATTATGGCAACAATCAGAAATTGCAACAGTGACTATCAGACAAAACAACCTGGCTTTTTAAAAAAGTGAACCATTCGGTAATTTAGCCACTTGTCACTTTATGATGGAAAATATTCATGTTGTCACAGTACAGCTTCATGTTATAACATATCTCGTAGAGATTTCAACTACTGGTAACTTATGCCAGCAAAGTAGTCTGCATTTTATTCTAAATTAGCTTTTTTTTCACAGTCCCATAGAAAGCAAGACATTTATTCTTTACAATGGAATGCCTTGATCAGCCATGCTATTTATAGTGGGGTGGCATAAACTCAGAGGCAAACTAGGGGCAACAACATGGTTACCTAACACTGGGAATTGAAGCGGCTTACCGGGTGATTATTTTTCCCAGATCACCTTGTCAGCTTGAAACATGTGAAGCAGGGAATGAATGAAACAGGGAATAATACTATGAACTTCAACCCCAACACCCTCCTCTCGTGATCAAATGGAAGTTGAGCGCAATAAAGGCAGATGATTGGAGTAAAAAATTATTTAATATGTAAACAACTTTTCCCAACTTGGTGTCACAATAAAAATTTAAAAATTACATGCCTACGGACACTTTCGATACACTCTATTTAAGCATGGTAGACGTCTCCATGGCTACATTTCAGTGACCTTTAGTGCACTATGCAGACCAAAGCAAACCAAAATCATGCCTACCTCCTCTATAAATGCGAAGACTGGCAATATGATCAAGTGAAATTGCTAGGGACCGGGGACCGTCTCTCATTTTGAGATGGATTTTTGCAAACAACGGGCACTCCGAATTAGGTAGCAGCTGGTGCATGCCATACCACCGGGAAAAGCAGTTCGAAGGGATTGCTTTGTTGCAGAGTCTAACCCAAGGCTTATTTTCTGAATTGTATTGTGATTACAGAATTTGCTATTACGACACATTCCGGCAAGTAGATCCCTTTTCCAAAAAAAGAATACTTTTTTTCAAGTGATTAGCTGTAAATATTTACAGACATTGCTGGTGGCTTCAATACAGCTATCTTTTATTGATTTTCATTTTACTTTTTTCTTACCAAATGAGATTTTATAGCACTGCTTTATATATAAAATTTAAACACAGCCCAGTGAGGGTGATTCAGTACTAACCCTGAATTCCCTCTTGGTCTAGTATATGATCAATTGGGATAACAGATCAAGTGACCAGATTTTGTCGGTACAGTAAAGGTTGCTCGAGAGTGAACAGCTGTCATTTATGGAAATTACTGCAAACACAACAATTCTCAAAATGGAACTCAAGAGGCACAGAGAAATTTCTGGTTATAAATACTTGAACTTAATCTGGGGTTATCTTGTATCCATGTTTTCATGTCAAGACAACAAATATGCACTATTGATAGATGGAATGATTTGCCTCCACCATGTCCCCAGTAGTAAGCAGACAGTGCACTCCCCCTGCTTCTCGATACAGAGCAACTGTATGTCCGTCTTTTTGCTGTTACTGAAAAGATCATGCACCTTGCTTCCTGCAGATTAGGTATCCATGGTTACCGTGAAGGGTTTCCAAAGAAAAGAGCCTAGAATTCTCACCATGGCAGCCTAACAAGCAGTCTGCAAATGGAAACTGGCATTCGAATGCTAAGAGCAGGCACTACTGTCCCACATCAAAACGCCAGGCAGGCCTGCACGGACCCGTCACTTTGTCCCCGCCAGTCAGGGGTTGTGCAGCATCGAAAAGCAAGCGTGGCTTAGATGAAGTTCTGAATGGCCACTTCCCCTTGAATAGGAATAAATCATAGATGAAAGGGTGATGAGGGAAGGAAACTTGTGCTGTGTTCTTAATGAAAGCCCCATGGATGCCAGTCATGTACTTCCCCTACGCCCAACTGAAACCCTGGCTGCACCGTGGTGGGATGATCTGCTAGCCTAAAGTTTGGCGGTTCAAAGCCAAAAGCTGCTTGAGAAAGATGGGGTCATTTGCTTCTACAAGTATTATCACTTTGGAAACCCTATACAGTTGTTGCTATAAGTTAGAATCATCTCAACAGCAACAGGTTGGATAAGCCTGCATACGCATTTCTCACGGTGTTCAAGATTGGGACACCAGACGGTGAGAAATACACAAAGGAAAACAAGTGTCATTTGAAAAGTGTTGTATGTTCCAGTGCAGGTCCCAAGAGATAGGGAGGGATGGGAGGTGAGCTGGAGCTTGTTGGCCGGTTCCTGAGTCTGTGATGGGGAACTAAGGCAGATCACCGGGACAGTCCTCATGTGTAAAAGGCCACATTCCGGCCAAGCGTGCATGACGAATATAAATTTACAGGCCGCTACCCAACCCCGGTTCATCACGAAGTCAGGGGACGGATCTATTCTTTTTTTTTAAAAATCACTTTATTGGGGGGCTATTTTTCAAAGCAATTATAATTACATTTTCAATCATCTAGTGGATTGATCTTTCAGGGATATAGGTCATTAATTCAGAATCAATGGATTAAACTCTCTAGTAAACACTCCAAGGTTTTAAGCTTTTAACATTTACTTAAAAGGTAGCCCCCTCCGCCTCCCTCCCCACCTGCCCTCCGGTTTTCATGTGTCACAGTTGAATCACCACATCCTGTTCCATAGCTCCTTTTATTGCCCAAATGCCATCACGTGGCTTGCTTGGGAGTCCAGACAAGTGAAAGCAAACAGACTCACATCTGGGGAAACCAACATCGACGGGCAAACAACGCCGTGAAAAGGGGGTAAAAGAAGTCACATGTCAGTTCCAGGAGGACAACCGTAGAAACTCTCAGGGGCGGGGCTCGGCGGCGGCTGCTGCTATGCTGCTGTTCCTTTCTGCCTCAAGTTCAGAAACCAGCTGGACTACTTCAGGGTGACTGAATTTTCCTATGAAACAAAAGATAGGAAGAAAGACATCCTCACATTCCCAGGAAAATCAACCCCTTGCTCCCTCTTGAACCCAGAGCTGGTCTAGGCTCCAACTTGCCAGAAGCTTAGCTCAAACGCCAGAGCAGGCTCACAGCATCCCTGGCAGCCTCTCCGGGAGGCCCTTCTCCCCACCGTCACCTTGCTCTCCCGGCCGCCCTCAGACCCTCCTCTGCCTCCTCTAAAGACCACTCCCCTCACCGACCCTCCTCCACGTCACGGTCCAAAGAACCCTGGGTGACCCCGCTTTGTGCCTCAAGATTACGGCTTCAGATTCATTATCTTTCCCTGCGATGGTTCGGGATTATGTTAACCAGCACTCCTGGGTAAGGTAAGGGTGGCCCCCACCTATCAACCGAGTCCCAGCCTGATGAAAGCTCCTTTGTAGAAGGAGATGACGAGGAGTTGGGACCTCCCTCTCTAGCCCTTCTCTGTCTGCAAGAGCTGGCTTGTGCACCTGGCTCCTGCATCACCTGTCACATCACCTGCCGATCCCAGGAGCCAGCAGTGGACTACTGATATGGATTTATTTACCTCTGCAGCCCCCAACACCACTGCCTTAGCTTCCCATTTGTCAGCGTGCACAAGTCTGATTTGAACCAGATGGGACTTCACCTACTCCTTTAATTATGAGCTGATTATTGCTATAAATCACTTTCTACAGACAAACACACATCAGTGTTACTGGTTTTGCTTCGAGCGAAAACAACCAAGCACACTCTCTAACATTACCTGTCATGATTCTCGGTAATTTTTAATGCACACCGAGCAACAACCTGGCTCTCTGTAGAACTCTTCTCCTCACCTCAGCCTCCTCCTCTGACCAGCACATCTGGAATTCCTTCCTGTTGGCCTGAGCGATCCCTGCTCCCAAGACCAGCCTCTCCTCTTGTCCATTTGTCCCAGTCCTACCAACTCGGCGGATCCTTCTTTCCCCTCTCAGTTTCCTATTGGCAGTGCTGTTGAGTTGACCCCATGCATGGCTGAATGGAATGCTGCCTGTTCACAGGACAGCCCTGGGATGAGCTGCGGCGGGTCAGACCGCTATCACCGTCTGGTTCTGCAAAGTGGACCAACCTTTCTTCCCAGTCTATCTCAGTCTAGGAGTCCTACTCATAGCTGTCCCTTCCAAGTACAGCTTGAGCAAAAGCAAAAGAATAGTTCATTTTAACAGGAAGGACCCAGGAAGGCTTCAAAGAGATGATACCCTTTTGAAGGTGGGCCTGGAAAGTGTCTGTGGTAGGGAATGTGGGAAGGTCATTGAAGTGGAGGTAGTTAGGGGACCACCTAGGAAAGCATTATCTCAAAGAGCCCTGCGGGTGCTTTTAGGTAAGCATTGGACTGCTAACCCAAGGCCAGTGGTTTAAACCCACTCACTTGTTGCTCCCCTGGCAGACAAAATGAGCTTACCTGTACAGATTTTCAGCCTCACAACTCCTATCAAGGGTCACCACTCTTCACAATCGCCTTGGTTGCTTTGTTATGTCACCCTCATGTCCCTACATCCCACCCAGCCAGAGACCAACAAGCCTGACTTGGCTTGTGCGGTGAACAGAGCCCACCAGCCCTGGTGTTTTCCAACTTGGCCCTCCCTCAGAGACGAGCGCCGGTCTCAAGTGGACCTGACTCAGACACCAACACTGCCGTCATGAAGACGTCGGGTCGCCAAGTCCTCCCCCGCTTCTCACACTAGAGGGCTGGTCACAGGCACTGGCCCACAGCCTGGAGATGCTTCCTCCTCGAACTTGTGATCCAGACCTCTGCTTCCACCCAGGCAGGCTCCCATAGAGCCACTCTGCGTCAGGGGCTCCCCCGATGCCAGCAGCCTGTGGGCACAGCACGCCGAGTGGGGGCAAGAAGACCAGACCCCTCGGGAGGTAGCACACTGCTGGGGCTGTGAGAGTGTTCCAAAGAGCCATGGTTTTGTTTGTTCAACAATGACAGCCACAGGAGGCTTCCAGGAGGGTTAGTGCACCTGTGGGCAGGTCAGTGCCACAGCCCGACTCAGCAGTACTGAGAGCCAGTGTGGGACAGAGGGCGCGTGGCTGCAAGGGAGGAAAGGGCGATGGGATCAAGTGCAAAGCGTATTCTGAACTGTAATCTTGGAGGAGGGACCTGCTCTGTTTTTGTGAGGCCCTGTGAGGGTGAGAGAAAGGCTCTCACCTGCAGTCTGCATGGAAGACAGAGGTCGAGCTATGGCTGCGGAGACACCAGGAAGCAACATGAGCAAAGCCACCCCCAGTGTATACACACTAGTGTTCACACCACATTAATGGTTGGTTTAGATTAACATGCAGGAAAGTACATCAAGATCAAAACAGCTAATGACTACTGAACGCTGATGACACATCAGGTACTGCTCTGATCTGCATAAGTTAACTCGGGCCACCCTCAAACAATCCCATGAAGGATGCTCGTTTTCACAGAGAAGGAAACAGGCCCAGAGAGGCCGAGTGCTTGACCGAACAGTGCGGCAGAACCTAGAATGAAATCGAAGCCATCTGACTCCAGGATCGTTCCATAAAGTTCTATGATGCATCACAGATTACAAAGCGTATTATGAGGGGGCTTCAAAAAGTCCGTGGAATTAAAAAGTCATGAAACCTCCCCACACATTTTTGGAAGTCCCCTGGTAGCTACCATGACCACAGTAGGGTGAATACTACGGTCCTCATTTTTCAGAGGAGAACACTGACTCAGAGGCCAGTGGGCTGCCCAAGGACACACGGCCACTCTGTGACAGAGCAAGAGCGGGGACACAGCACTGAGTCTACGTCAGCTCTTGCCCACCCCCCTGACCCCACCAGGAATCCCCGCGGAAAAGGGATGGGAGAGAGTCACAACAGGGGTTTTCAGTCTCAGAACTGCACTGCCTGAGGAGGAAGCCAAGCTAAAGCTGATGCTCACTGGAAACAGCCTGATACCTGCTGTGGAATCGTAGAAGTCTTGCAATCTCCCGGGTTTGTTCTCAAGGTCTTCGTACTCCGATGCCTGTAGAATCATCTCACACAGGTCCAGCTGCTTCACATACTTGGCTTCTGCGCTGGATTGGGTCTCGTACTCCTAAGTAAAAGGACCATTGCAACAGCGTGATGCTGGCTGGCAGGAGCGGTGGCCCCCGGACAATTCTACCTTGGGTACCAGAAGTAAGAGTCCCAGCGAAAAGGGCACCCCACTGCGCAAAGAGGCTCTCACTGTCCTTTTACAGCTCGGCATCCATGTCAGAAGGAGGGGCTCCCACTCCATGTAGCACACTATAGAGGCCAGGGGGTCTCTTTTGTTCCACTTGACACTTCCAAGCTCTATCTTGAGGCATACCACCCTGTCTTTATTTCAAGATCATTCATCTATCATCTACCTGAGCAGCTTAGACCTTGCACCCTCTACACTGCAGCACAATGTGCATTTTATGATTCTCCAACTTTTATTTCCCTCCCACTTCATGTCAGTGTCCACCCCCACCCTACCTGTTTAAGTGAATTTGAAGCTTTACTTATAGCTTTTGCTTTGGGTTACTACCTGGCAATGAAAATCTCTGTCCTTACTTTCTACTTAAGCAAGTCGACGCCAACTCAGGCCGGCCCCTGTGCTCTGCACTGAGTTTCAATGGCTGGTTTTTCAGAAGTACACTGCCAGGATGTGCTTCTGGGTGACCTCCCACCTCCCTGCTTTCTCTTAGTAGCCGGGAACATTATTGCGTGTTCCACTGAGGGACTCCACTGTCTACAGAAGGCAGATTAAATCAAACCCATCTAGGCTTTGACCCCTGAGGATCTGGGAGTTCTGCAGGTCCTGGTGTGTTTCCGGAGCCCTGGTGGCGTAGTGGGTTACACACTGGGCTGCTAACCACGGGTCAGCAGTTCAAACTGCCCAGCCACTGCAAAGGAGAAAGAGGAGGCTTTCTGCCCTTACAAAGACTTGAAAAGTCACCAGGGCAGTTTGACTGTCCACAGGGTCACTATGAGTCAGAACTGACTCGATGGCAGTGTGTCTGCTGCTTTGGGGAGGGCTGTTCGAGTGTTGGGTGTGTTGCCCTGGGGAGGGCAAGTGACGGGGTAGGAGGAGAGCAGATCTCTAACGTCTCCCCTCCTCAGGGGTCCCTCCCTGCTCAGTGCAGACCTGCAACAAAGTCTGCTGCCCAGAGGTCTGCTGCGTAGAGCGGGACCAAAAGCCCCAACTCCTGGGATGCACGGTCATTCTTCTCTGAAGACCCAAGTGTTCCCAGCTGGGTTCCCTGCAAAGTCCTTGTTGTAATTCCACCCCAGACATGTCTGGGTAGTGACTCCGTCACTCTGTCTTTGCCACACGCCGTGACTGAGAACCACTGGAAAGCGTCTGGGTTCCTACGAAACTCCTTATAAAGGCTGCTATTTGGATTCTGACAGAGCTAAAATTGGCCAGGGGGATCACTCGACTATGTAACTAACTACGTTCTGTCTTACTTCAGTTGAACTTAAAAACAAGTGTACCCTGCTTAAGTGTTTATTCCTATTCACACACAGACACTGACATGTAATCTACGCAAATTCCTTACTTAACAAAAAGCAGTGGAATACTCCGAGCAGAGCAGTGAAGGGTTTTCTTTGTTGGAAGTGAGAAAAGAACTTCAGGAGTATAACCTAACAGATTCTGGGGTGCTTACAGGTTGCTTTTAAAAATATAAACTGCTGGGGTTCTCTTTCAAAAGAAACTGGCTCAGGTGTTCTTCTATTTCACTTTCCGGCAAGGAGACAGGGCAGGGAGGAGAGGGACGCACACAAAGCTCTGGGCTGAGAAGGAGTCAGGGCACCGCTGAGACATAACTACAACAGATTCCTAAGGACAAGACGAGGGCCGAGCAGGGACTGTGAACTATTTTCTAGCCAAAGTCTCTGACTCCCACCAAACCACCTTTCCCTGTACAGGTCTGGTAGTACCCTGTGCGGGTCTGGTAGTACCCTGTGCGGGTCTGGTAGTACCCTGTGCGGGTCTGGTAATACCCTGTACGGGTCTGGTAATACCCTGTACGGCTCTGGGGGAAGATACTGACAGGATTCGCCTGTGAGTGACTGCCACAGCATTCCCTGGAGTTGCATCTGCTGTGTAAGATACTAGCCCTCTGAAAAGCACGAGGGATCTCATTATCAGCTAGAGTCAGGAATGGAACAGGTCCCCTGGACCCAAGATCCCTGTGCACTGAACCTCCTGGATCCAAATGACAAGTATACCATCAGCGAGCAGCAGCAGAACCAGGAGCCAGAACAGGGGACAGAGTGGTGGACTTCCCAACCCAAGAAGCAAGTTAAGATGAGTGCTTTTGCCTAAGAGCCTGGCTGGAGGAGTGGGGAGGAGAGTAAAGATTTTTGTCAACTTCTGCAGTCTGAAATGGATCAGACACTCCAGATGCACCGGTAATTACTAGTGACTGAAATGCACAAGCTAGAAAGGGAGAAAGAGCTGCCTTTGGAAAACCAGGTCTTGGTGAAAGAAACGATGCTGGGGATCACATAATACAACATTCCACAAGGCCGGCCTCTTATCACTGGAAAGACCTCTTTTCCACACTGTAGACAGTGCCTTCGATACACAGACCTCACTGGCTGGCTCCTCCCTGTAGAAAGAGGCCCGAGAGACGCTCCACGTGACCAGTCAGAACAGGGCCACGGCCAGCTCTGTATCAGACCGTGCCATGTCCACATGCAAGCTGATACAGTGAGGGAAAGCGCAGACAGTCCATGAGAGCCAGAACGACTTTGAGCATAGACTCCCCCTGGATTTGGAGAACATCTCAGAATAGATACGACTCACCAAACAGGAATGACCAAATGCGTCACGGAGTGACATCAAGTACATCGCACAATGAGGAAACCAGAAGGTCATTACAAAGGCAAAAGAGAGAGAAATGACCAAAAGGGATGTCAGAAGACACCCTGAAAGTTGCTCTGGAACATAGAGAAGCCCACTATGAGCTAGACTCAAAGCCACTTTTGAATCGCCTGAAGCCCAGCATTTTTCAAAGGGAAAACCAGGTGGGTGGGTGTGGGGCTGGAGGCAAGAGACGAGGGTGAGGAGCAAAGCAGTCGGGGGCCTTGCCTCAAAATCCACCCCAGGCACTGTGACAGCAAGAAGCATGGGACACCTGGAGGGAAAGCCAATTCCTGTCACAACGAGAACCGTCCACAGCTGCAGGGATGAGAAGCAGGCACAACCGACGAGTGAGAGACAGCTTCTCCAGACACGGGCAGTCAGCTACAATCATGATGGGCCTTAGAAACACGAGTATGCTCAATTCAGGTTAAAAGGAACTCTGATTTTTACTGAATTTTGTCCCTCCCAATTTTACCTATCAACATTACCTTTTTTGGAAGTAAGGTCTTTGCCAATCTAACCAAGTTCACATGAGGTCATGAGAGTGGGCCCAAATCCATATGGCTGGTGTGCTTCAAAGAAGGGGAGGAGAATCACATGCTGGAGCACCATGTGATGACAGAGTAGGAAAGGCCCGGGGCTGACCGCCACACTGGAAGCTGAGAGAAAAGAGGCAGCGGGACTTAAGAGACTTCTGAGAGGTCGAAGCCTGCCGAAACCTTGATTTCAGACTTTGAGCCGGAAGTCACAGAACTGCCAAAGAATAGAGTGCGGTTGTCTCGACCCACCAGCATTGGGGTCACGGCGATGACCGCCTCCGGAATCTAAGCCACAGTCGCAGGTACTTACTTCCCAAAGGTCATAGATCTCCTTTCTCAGGTCCTCTGGCAGGAGCTGGGTGAGCTGTCCCAAAGCTTCCTGAAACAGCGAACCAGGAGGTTACTTATGTTCACATCCACAGTCAGTCTACAGGAGCCAAGCAAAGGGCAGAGGAAGGCAGAAGGAAGGAGGAGGCACACATCAGACCCTTCTTATAGCTTATCCGGAGGGTTGTTGAGGACATTAATAACTATTTATCCACCATAGGGGCTGCACTTAGCACTTATTGTGTGGCCCGCTGCCGATCAGACATACAAAAGAACAATGAACAAGACATGACAAGATTATAAAAGTATCAAAAAGGCAAGGATTTTGCATATTGTGGATGAATCACAGCCTATCCATGCAAATGTCGACCATAGTATACCAAGTTCAAAACAAACCTAAGAATAGGAAAGGAACATTGAATTACATAGTTCAAGGCCTGTTTTTATAGATCATATCCATTTCTATTGTTAGCATGTTATAATTACTAAACTTAAAACTATCCAAATGCAAAATTGTTATTAACATAAAAGAAATTACATGACATAATGTTGTAGACTCATCGGCTCTCAGGCTTAAAAGGGGTATTAAAGGCGCTTAGTCAAACCCCCCATGTAATATCTGAATTCTTCAATAGCATCCAGGAACATTTCTTGTCCTCCTCCATAAACGTGTCCAGTGGTAGGGGCCTTGGTACCTCCAGAGGCTGTCCCTGTGGATGCTGCACTTTCTTATATTGATCTGAAAATTGCTACAAACAGTTCTAAAACTGGAGCCAGATCACCCAAGGTTACCTGTGCAATTGGCCCAGCAAAAGCTGAGAAGCTACCTCCTCTGCCACAGTGAGAAGCCTGCGAGTTGCCCACCCCAGAGAAAAGCCAAGAGCACAGAGCTTGAATGGCAATTGTTCTGAACCAGTTCTAGTCTCCAGAATCCCAGGAAATACTTTATTTTCCATGGTTCCTCCCTCACTTCTGAGTTACTCCAGGATCATTCTAAAATATCACCTTGTTAGGAGCATGAGGTGTGCAACTGGCTACAGTTTCTAATTCTTTTACCATCCTTAACCTACACCTCTTAATTTGCTCCAGGTCTTCAACAGAGTAACCACCAAGATTAGGATCCTTGAAAAGAAGCCTCTACAGGAACCACTTACAGGTCTTGTCTCAGATAAGGAGTTGGGGAGAAGTAACAAAAGTAAAGATGGAGATGTGTGTGCATACACGTGTGCATTTATCACTGGGAGTGAAAAATGCTACAGAACACAACCACTCCGAGTGCAAATCTACTCTCAGGCAAGGACAGCCAGACTTTGTCTCACATACTTTGGGTGTTGTCAGGAGAGACCCTTCCTGGGAGGACACCACACTTGGTCAGGGGGCAGCAAAAAAGGGCACGGTGGATTGATAGAGTGGCTGCACTGATAGACTGAAACCTAAGAACAGCTGTGAGGTGGCACAGGACCAGTGCCTCCTACTGCTCAGAGCCGACTCGAGGGTCCCTACAACGTGCACTTTGCTCAGAGATATCACAGCACCGTCTATCTAGAGCTGTCGTTTCATGGCCTGCAGAGGGAAATGCCCTTTACTGCGTGGCCTTGAGCAAGTCCTAAGTTCTCTGTAACTCAGTTTCGTCAAGAACCAAATGAAGAGGACTTTAGTACCAGCTTCATAATTTCCAGAACATTAAAGGAGCTCAGGTCACATGGATGAAATACAGTGCCTGTGCACTGGTTGAACATTTTAAGTATTTATTATTAGATTTTCAACCTGCCCTTAATGGTATGAGATTTAATGACGTTTGCCCTTCACTTTCCCCTCTTTAATTTTTTTTCATCAATATCAATGAACCACTTGAGAAAATGTTTTTCATTGTCACCAATCAGAGATTTCTTTATACACTATTCCAGAAACATAGATTTGTTCATTCCCTTTTATCTTAAAAAAATGAATCGAGTAACATGTATACAGGTATACCAAAATCTACATTTTCAGAACACAAAAATAAAACTCTTACGTTGACAGAGATTGATGATTGTTATTCATTCTGAGGTTCTACGACGCAGGGCTGAGTGTAGTGATACATGAGGTCTGACCACATGGAATGAGATGGAGCCACAGCCTGGTGCCTTGGTGGTGTACTGTGTTACATGTTGGGCTGCTTACCACATGGTCAGCAGTTCAAACCACTAGCGGCTCAGAGGGAGAAAGATGAGGCCTTCTATTCCCATAAAGAGTCCCAAAATCCCATAGGGGTAGTTCTACATTGTCCTATAGGATCACTATGCATTGGAATCAACTCAGTGGCAGAGAAAAGGGAGAGAGAAAAACATGCTAGTTCTGATACTCTGTCAACCACATCCAGTCACTGACTGATGAATAAACGTCACAATGCCTGAACCCACCCCGTTCTAAGCAGACAAACACACATGCTGTTGTTTGCTTCCTGAAATTGAGCAGTGTTATTTCTACTCTATGTCTGTTGCCGTCAGACCATCAAGAGATGAGGGTGCCACCCTTCACATTTTGTGTGGTCCACGTATGTGGGGAATGAGCCCCGAAGGGCAACAATTTGAAACCTCTTTTCCCAGGACAGTTTCATGTGTAACATACACTACAAACACGCTCAGGAAAGTAGTCAAGGTCGGATCAATCTCTCGGCCTGTAACAACAGTTGAATCTGGCTTCAGAGAGCACATGGGAAGACAAGGAGATTGCCTGTGGTAAAGAATCCTCACCCACTAATCTCTCTTGATGGTCACATTGGGGACATTATTATTAAATTATGATGTACCGCACATCTGATTACTCTGACCCTCTAAGGTAGAGAACCAATTCTTTGTTCTCAAAAAATAAAAAAGAAGCTATCTCTTGTGCTTGGCTAAATAGTCTTACTTTGTTTAACTGTATCCTTTGAAACACTGAACACAAAGAAGTGTACTGGTTAAAAAGTGCTAAAGATCTTCTCAAGGAGCCTCCGTGGCTCTGCTGGGTAATGGACTGTCAACCAGAGTTGAAGAGTGAAATTCGCCAGCCTCTGGGAAGGGAAGACGAGGACATCTGCTCTTGTAAAGATTTACAGCCTCTGAAACCCCAAACAAGGTCGCTAGGCGTTGGCACAACTCACTAGGAGAGGGTTTTTAAAAAGAACTTCTGGAGAGCTTCAAAACCTGATCCACCAGCTGCTTTGGGGGACGAAGATGAACTTTCTACTCCCACAGAGTCACAGTCCCGGAAACCCGCGTGGGAAGTTCTAACTGTCCATAGTCACTATGAAGGGGCATCGACCCAATGGCATCGCGTTTGGTTTCATACGTGAATGCCCAGTTCAGATCTCTAGATCTGTTCATAAACACCGTCTGCATAAGGAATCAATCGTCTGTCAAATCTCCCTCTCTCCTAAAAGCCTAACCAAGAGCCGGAAAAGGCCCTGCACTATCGGTCTTCTCCAAGCCTTTGCTTTTTAACCCAAGAACTCGGGGTTCTTAGAAATAGGTTCCCTGGACCCTTCTGATTGATATTTATTTCCCCACGAATCAACAGGAGTGGGCAGCAACCAGGAGTTTTACAGAGGTCCAAAAGGTGTGTGATCAGAGCCAGGAGAGAATCCAAGAAGACAGCAGCACCTCTCTGATTGGCTGGTCAGTTGTCCCTCTCTGATCCTCCAGGTAGGGAAGGGAATAAGCAGGCTCTAGCCAGGACCTAGTTCTTCACATGGCAAGAGCAGACTTTTCCTCGATGTTTCCAGTCCCTTCCTACTCACTCTGGTGCTTCTACAGAGAGCTCTGGCTTGCTCCTGTGTAAACGGAATCTCGAATTCACTGTGAACTTCTGCAGGAACCTCCCCACCCCTTCTATTTCCACTGTGTCCCACTTCTCCATCCTTATGCTACTTCATCATTTGAAGAGCTTTGATGCTCCTCATTAACTTCTTGCTACTTCTCCACAAGGTCGATTTCCTGAGGTGAACTCTAGGGCTGAAGGCTCCACGCTCCTTTCTTTTCTTGGGTGTTGTGTTAGACAGGGTTCTCTAGAGAACTATCTCAGGTGTCATTCCTCAGCCTGACTCCCGTACTACTTCCTTCCTGCCACAGGGAACCTTCAGCCAATTTTGTTGGTATAGGTGTACAGTTTGTGGATGTGGCATGTAACTCCACTTCCCGCTTGTGAAGTCAGAGGTCAGCTGCCACCTCCCTGCCATTTTTTCACTATGTCCACGTAGTAATAAGAACCCAAATCAGCCAAAGTGCTGTCCCTCTGTTAAACAAAACAAAATCTGCAAAAACAACTTAGCTACCTATTCCCGGAAATCCTTGCGACTGAATACTAAGAGAGCAAACCACTGAAATTAGCTTACTTATTAAAACTAAAACCTTATTCTTCATGACTCTTAAGATTTTGTTCAAATGGTCTCAACAATTCAAAATTAATAGGTCTTAAATTCTGTCCAAGCCAGACAAGTTGCCCATCTCGTGAGAGTCCTCTTAACATTCTCCAGCCCAGATGCCCAAACCACATGCATAAATCACTGGTCATCACCCTCATAACCACCCTCTAAGGCTCTCTGTCAAGGTGGTGCTCTAACTGCAAGAGGCCCAATGGCCTTGGCTTTTCTTGAGACACAAGGTTTCCCAGGGGCCTTTCGCACTCATTAGTTCACACTGACCTTTTCCCGCCTATGTTTTTCTTCTTTGGGGACGTTATCTGCTGGTGCTATGTCCCCCACGATGCATTCTGCCATATCGTGAACAAGGGCTAGGCGTACACATCTAGCCGGGCAAGAAATGTGAAACAATTACACAGAATCATATGAACTACTGAGTCCTGTCTCTGGACTACTTTAAAAGTACATTATTCATTTTTTGTCCTCTACCCTCACCGAGTATTTTAATAATTTCTAAAGCAATTATATATTTCCAGCCTACGATAGTTCTAAATCAAAACTGCTAGTGAATATTCAACACCATACATAAGGATGCAAAGGAAAATATTTTTCAGCATGAATTTGTTTGAGAAAAACAGCAGCCAGTTTCGCAAACTTCACTGTAAAAAGTTGATCACCTCCATTTACAAAGCCTGGAGATGATCTGGTTGCTGTATGTATTTAATGAAATAACCCTTTCTCCCACGTGCTTAGTATCTTGCTTCTGGCCCGGTTAGACAACAAAAAGAAGTAGTTATCTAGTCACAGGTAGAATTGGAGAGGCTTGGGTCTTCATCCATCTACCACCACTTATTAGCTGTGTGATCTTTGCCAAGTTACTTGCTTTCTAATTTTGTCATCCTTCACATTATCATCTGTGAAAAAGGTAGAGCAATTCTGTGTGAGGTTGGAGTAAAAATCAAATTTGATCATGCGTGTCCCTGGCATATCTTAGTCATTCACCAAACAGCTGATGAGTAGTGATGATGACGTTAGTGATTAGATCATTAATACCACAACAATAGAGGCATGTCATAAGGTAAGTGCCCCAAAGAGATAGTCCGTGCTTGCTCCCATTATTGTCACCATTGTTCAAGGCCCACAGCCCCTCTTAAGTTGCCCTGCCTCCTGCCTCTCAACCAATTCAGACGCCTGTTCATCACCACTCATCGACATGTTCATTTTGTGCCATTTGCCAAAATGGCAATTCCACATCTTCCAGACAGTATTGGGGTCCTCAGACTCCCTAAGTGCACCCTTTGCTACAATCAAAAGGGATTTACTAATTTCTCAGTCCCCCTTCTCCTTCCCCCACCGGGGCTTTAGTTCCTGCACTCTCCCCTCTGCGTGCTGTGCCCTGTCCCCCTTCTCTCTCTGTGGAGACCCTTGGGCGCTCAACTCAGATGCAGCCTCTCCCTTCACACTGTCCCAGAACCAGCAATCGCCTCTACTGTGGTAATATTTGGCTAATTTTCGGTCATAATGTATTTGGTATTTTTTATAGAAGTGGCTTGGGGCCCGGGTCATTCCGAATGGACTTGGTGGCGGTGAGTTTGGTTTGGGGTTTATTGTTTATAAATAAACGTTTAGGGAGCTGGGATCTAAGAATAATAAGGACAATAGAATAAAGAAAAGATTCTAAAATGGATTATGCCAATGATTGCACAACTCTTTTTAATAGGTGAAAACTACTGAATTATATGGTATGTGAATTACATGTCAATACAACGGTTAAAGTTATAAATAAATTAACTAACGAACTAACTACCTAACTTCTGGCCTGTGCTTAAAGTGTTTGAGACATTTATTGGTTGCCGAAAGGGAAGGAAGGGGACTTCTCGGTCTCAGCTCTAACTTGCACGCGTAACTCCAAAAAAAACACCTTACAAATGGGAGGTAGGCTTCATACAAGGGGTTTCATAAAAGCCATAGTGTACAAAGACTGACAGAACTTTAGATAAAGAACATTCACTTTCAAGGTCGAGGGCACCCGCATTCACACCAAGATAGCCAGCAGGCACCCTCTTACCAAAAGGAAACCCAGAGTCAGTTTGCCACACCTGAAGCAATCAACATACACAGTTGACCCTGCTCCCAGAATGTGTATTGTTTGCCGCATATAATTTATGTTGACATGCAAGCCAAGACATAAGAATTTGACATGGGCTTTAGTCGTGAAAGTGGTGTGCGGCCATGGACCAGACGCCCTCAACAAAGGCACTGCCCCAGAGTCACTTCTGACTCATCTCGTAACGCAGAGGACAGGGCTGTAAAGTCTTATGGAAGCAACTTTCAAATCTTTCTCTCTTACTGAGTGGCCGGTGGATGCCGACTCTCGACCTTTTTGTTAGCAGGTAAATACTTTAACCCCTGCACCACCAGAGACCCTCCCAGGCATCAACATTTCCATCTGCTTACCGGTCTTTGTTAAGCTGGTCATCTTTGGTCACCAGAGCCATAACTGCCATCCTGTACATGTGATCGGACACACTCTCTGGCTTCTCTACATTTCTGTACACCCAGCCGGTCCGTGGGACCCTCTGATAGAAATGAAGGAAAAGAACTTAATAAACGAATCCCATTTAAATAGTATGTCTTCAAGAGATATCCAGAGAACAGGTAAACAGGTACACAGAGAGTGATTTTAGGATCTTACTAAATGGTGCTTTCAGAGTAGTATGAAATTCTGATGGTGAGGGGATTACATGCTGGGCTGCTAACTACAAGGTCAGCAGTTTGAAACCACTAGCTGCTCTGCAGGAGACAGAAGATGCTCTCGACTCCTTTAAAGCGTCAGTCTCACAAACCCACTGACGGAGTTCTACCGTGTCACTGGGAGTTGGAATCAACCACTGTGGGTTGTTTAGTTTTGGAGTTGGTGGCACTGTTCAGTAAGTATTGGATTGCTAACTGCAAGGTTGGCAGTTCAAATCCATGAGTGGCCCCAAGGGCGAAAGAGGAGACCATCTGTTTCTACACAGATGTACAGCCTTGGAAACCCTGTATAGGGTTGCTATTAAGTCAGAAAGGGCTCACTGGCAGTAATTTTGGATTTTACTTACCTGTGAGCCCTGGTGAAACAATGGGTTAAGTGTAGGGCTGCTGGTCACAAGGTCAGCAGTTTGAATCCAGCCATTCCAAGGGAGAAACAGAGGCTGTCTGCACCTGGGAACGCTAGGGAGTCAAGCCACGATGAGTCAGAATTGATTTGCTGGCACTGGGCTTTTTGGGGGGTATACAAATAAAGCTTTTGATTTTGAAGGTCCCTAGGTGATCCAAACAGTTTCTGCTGCACAGTCACACCCAGCCTTGTTCCTGGGGGGAAAACCTGGTGATCTGCTTCTGTTCCAAACTCCCAGATGGAGCAGTACTACTGTGTACCACAGGGTCTCACAACTACAAGAGTTGGAATCTCTTTTTCCCCTTTAAACAACCCGTTATCAAGATAAGTAAATCCTGGGGTGAAAATTACAACCCCAAATCAGGGCAACCTCCCACTACTCACACATAACAGATAAAAAAATAATAATGTGCAATTTCTTGGTACTACTACTGAATGAACACTCAACTCTTCCTTTTATAGAAGAGCAATAGAGGATCGGGTGCAACCCTCAGAATCCTGAATTTCTACATTGTGTTGTCAAACAGTTGCAATCGTGGCTTGAAGTAGATGGTTTGCTTTGAACTTGGAAGGAATTCATCGAGGAAATCGCTACCTGATTTGGGGACGCGGGTCGGCAAGCACACGGTGTCATTCTACCCAGGGTTATACAAAAGATGGGACGCAGGCGCGGGGCTGCTAATCGGAGGTCCTCGGTTGGAACCGAAAGGTATGTATATCTACCTGGACAAGGAAACACACACGTGGCGACCCAGTTGAGTCTGACAACCCGTGTGTGGGAATGGAGCTACTCCATCCAGCTGCAGAAGCCAGCAGGCGGAGGCAGCCACCAAGGCGCCTTGGAAACCTTCTGGGGCAGCGCCACTCGGTCCGACGAGGTCGCAAAGAGTGGGGATCAGCTCGACCGAGCGAGTTGGGTTTTGGTTCCGCTTACATACCAGCCTCAGCCGGTCTCCTTTTTCTGGAATTCACTGTGACCGAGGTAAAGCCCACCACTGAATCTGCAAGGCCTATGGATTCCCTGCTGCTCAGAAGCGCCCCATATGCCGGGGCTGTGGGCCCCGGGAAATAGCTCTGTAGGTGGGGCTCTCCTGGACCTCCCCGCCAAACGGCGCAGTGCGGGGGCCACTGCATCACCCCTGACACGTGCGGCACGTGGCCGGAGACCCCAGCCTCTGGCCCTGGCCCGTCCCCGCTCC